AAATTTTTACCAATGACTTAAAAAATTCAATGATAATATCTTTTTGTTAAAAATAAAAAGTTTTGAATTTAAATTACATGACATATGGATAAAATAAAATAAAGGATAAAAGATAATTACATTTTATTATGTAAGTAAAATTTAAAAAAAAATTAATTGAATCATCTTTTTAGGCAACCAAACCCTTATTGAGTAAGAATGGTGCTAAAGAGATAATCTTTTTATACTATATTTTTATATAATTTTCACATGTTATTAAATAAATGAATGCATTCAACATTATGAGTCTCACATAAATTAAAAGAACTAATTATTTAAATGACACATTAAATTATACAAAATATATATAGATAAATTATTCCAAAATAATTTCCCTATTGAGTAAATCTTTTGATACCCCAAAAATCTAATGGTATCACTTCATTGAAACTAAAATTAGTACGATGCATTTATACTGTATACTCCAATCATGCATCTAATGCCTGTTGGGAAAACCTTTTGATACCCCAAATCTTAACGATATCACTTCATTAAAAGTAAAACATTAGTGCCAAACATTTATATTATTTTTCTTCTTTTTTTTCTTTTCTTTTCTTTTGTTATGTAGAAAGAGTGGTAGGGAATAGTCGGCAACTATATGAGTATGATTCATTCATTTTTGAATAAATATTATTTTATAAATTAAGTTTGGAGTCGAATAATACTTAAAAAGAACAATTGTTTTTTTAAAATATATCAAGTAAATTAAAACATTAGTATGATACATTTATATATATTTTTTTCTTCTCTTTTGTTATGTAGTGAGTGGTAGGGAATAGTTCCAGTTGGTATGGATATAAGGAATATATATCGGCAACTCTATGAGTGTGATTCATTCATTCCTAAGCAAATATTGTTTTATAAATTAAGTTTAGAATTGAATAATACTTAAAAAAATAATTTTTTAAATATATCAAATTAATTTAAAAATAAACTCTTAAAATTGTTTGAAATAAAATTTATTTTAAAAAATATAAAAATTAATTAAAAGACAATATAATTGTAAATACCAAGTAAAAAGAATATATATTGACATCATTAAAAAAAAAAAAAGTGCATGAGTGGGTATCAAGGAGATAAGGATTATTCGTGATATAGTACACAAGGATTATTCGTATGGTATATTAGCATGGAATCGAATAAAAAATTTAAGCATTGTGCTTCATGTCCGTATTTGAAAATTTATTCAATTCAATAAAATGCAAGGGAGGGAGTTGTAACGGACACCTGGACCCAGAAGCCCAGAAGCCCAGAAGCCCAGAAGCCCGGAAGAAGGGGCTATGGATCAGCTATTTTTTTATTTTTATATTTAATTTAAACAATAACAGATATAATATTTTAATATTTAATAGTTATTTGAGTATTAAAAATTTATATTTATTATTCAATTTATTTAGTACAAATATATCCATAAACATATTTATTAAATTTTATATTAAAAATATATAAATTAATGTATAACTATAAGTTCATACATACAACACAAGTTATTATAACCTGACGTAGAAGACAGTAGAAATTGAAGACAATTCTAGCGGACTGTGGAAATGAAAAAGGCTATTTAGGGGCCACTAAAAAGGGATGCACTTTTTTTTTTGTAAAATATTTATTTAATTATTATTGTTTTGTGGTGGCTATAATTTTAAATATTAATGATATATATAATATTATAAATATGTAATTAAATGTATGAATTGGGTATATAAGTAAATATATAAGTAAGATATATGAGTAAGATATATAAGTTCAGTATATGGGTTAGGTATATAAATAAGGTATATATGTATTGACCTTTATACCCAATAATTACCCAATATTTAATAGATATGTATTTTTTATATCTGATATTTAATTATCATTTTATAAATATAAATAAAATACCTACCTAAACAAATCAAATATCAACAAGTATAAGATATACCTGTACCCGATGCTCAGCCTTACACAGAACCCAACCAAACCCAGACAATTGGACACAACTCAGGATTGGGCCTTTCTTCTTGCCAGAAAGAAAGAGGCCTGCACTAAGCCCGGATTCAAATATGGACCCGAAATCTAACGTGGACAGCTGGACATGGATATTCAAACCCAACTTCTCTGCGTCTTCTTCCGAGTTTCGTGGACGGGACAAACTCCACGTAGCCCTCAAACCTCACCGTCGGACACAATCATACCGGATGGTTCCCGTATTTCGCGCCTGAAAACGGAACATAGCGAAGGCGTTCGGGAGAAAAAGAAAAAACGGTGGAAATTAGCGCGCGAGATTTAGGGAATAGCTATGAGTTCGTGGAAGCACCTGGGGAGGCTCGTCCACGGCGTTTCTCTGATCGCTAAGGAGATCGCCAAACGCTCCCAAGCAATCGAGAGTGCCCGGAACGGCGATCTTGAGACCCTAGTCACTTCCTCTCTGAAGAAAGCGCTAGTCTCCGCCACCGACTTATCGGGCCTCACCAAGGGGAAAGTCCGTGAGTTCTCGAGCCCTAGGCCCAAGGAATCCGTCGTCTACTTTGATGATAGTACTGCCGACAGGGATCCAGATTCTTCCTCCGCTACTGCGTCGTTGCAGAGTCCTGTTCAAGAACAGCTCGTCAATGTTAGGGAGATTAATGGTAATGACAGTAGTAAAATCCAATCAATTGTGGAGGAGAAAGTTGAGAATGTTGATCAGAGGGGTGAGTTGTCGGGTAATTTGGAAAATGTTGGTTTGGTGAGAGAAAATGAGCTCAATTCGGAAGACAAGTGCAATGGTGGTGGTGGTGGTGGTCGCGCTACTGGAGCCGAAACGGCGCCACCGGTGGCGATCACCACAAAAAGGCGGAGGCCCAGGGAAGTTAAAGTTCCAGCCACTCCATTTTCTAGAGCATTTGGGTAAGACGTGTTTTGAGATAGTAATATTGTTTAAGCTATATATGACATTAATGTTCTGCTGTATTTCTAACCAGTGTTCTATAACGTCTAAAGCTTTGCTGCTCTAGGAGCTGGGCTGGCATGGGGAACAGTTCAGGAATCTGCCAAGAGGCTTGTCTTTGGTCCATCACAATCACAAGATAAGCAGTCTGCAGCTTCCCCATTCTTATCTGAAAAGAATGCAGAAAGGTTGGCCTTTGCACTATGTAAAATGCGTGGAGCAGCACTTAAGATTGGGCAGATGTTAAGCATCCAAGATCAATCTCTTGTTCCTGCTCCGGTATGGTAATTATGAGTAGGAATTGTTATAATTTTATTTATACAAGTTAAGTCATAGATTTTTATTTCATGATTGAGAATGGCTGTGAATAATTTTTTCTTTGTTTACTTTGCCCTGATAACATAAGCGTCTTGGCTTTTATTTTGTATAGATCTTGGCTGCTTTAGATATTGTACGTCAAGGTGCGGATGTGATGCCAAAGAAACAACTAAACCAAGTTTTGGAGGCTGAACTAGGTCTAGATTGGTCGTCAAAGTTGTCTAGCTTTGATTATGAACCCATGGCTGCTGCAAGTATAGGCCAGGTAAGCCAAGGCAGTTGCCTTTTTCTGATTTCATTGTCTTTTAATACCTTGTGCTATCAGAATCAGTCTGTGTTTGGATCCTCATTAATATCTTAAAAATTACTATGAGGTAAATCATTTCTCTATAATTAATTTTAAATGAACAGAAGGAATATTCTATAAAGCTGTAGAACTTTGGCTGTTTCTTTGTTCTTCATAGGGTAGTGCTGTTTTTTTGATTTGTTTTACCCATCACTTTTTCGTTGTAACCTTCATCGGTTGGTGCTAGATGTGGGGTCTTCCTTTTTAGCTATCTAAAAGATTCAGTTGCTTGATTTTCTCCTTGCCTTATCATCAATGTTCCAACACTTACATACTTATTTGCAGCATTATCTGCTTTCATCTATAACTCTGAATGTTCACTTATTAGAGCTGTATTTTAAAAATTCTGATCTTTTCTGGTCTGCATGCTATATTGTCATTTAAAATGTTAGTTCTCCTGGATTTATTGTTTTAAATTTATTCCAGGTTCACCGAGCTGGCACAAAGGATGGAATGCATGTTGCAATGAAAATTCAGTACCCTGGTGTGGCAGATAGCATAGAAAGTGACATTCAGAGTGTGAAACTTCTTTTGGATTACACAAATCTAATTCCAAAAGGACTTTATCTTGATAGAGCTATGAAGGTATGCATGTTGCATTCAGTACCCTGGTGTTTGCTTTATTAATTTAATACAGTCTTTAAACATATGGTTGAAAGTTACATGGCCAACACTTTCATTTGACCAACCTTAGTTACAGAAGCACCCCTGTTTGTTAAAATTGTTTGAGCAATTGATCTTCTCTCAAAGCTCTATCATTCTTGCCTCTAGCTCTCTGTAGCCATGCCTTTTTACCCCTACATATCTCCAACCTTTCTCAAAAATGAGGCACTACGTCCCTTTTATAGATGCTACAGGATGCAAAATTAATTAATGAATAGCGTGAAGAAATATGTGTATTAACTGATTTAATTGTAGTCTTATGTCATGAAATTCCTTACAGGTAGCAAGAGAAGAATTATCTCGTGAATGTGACTATGAATTGGAAGCAGCCAATCAGAAACGGTTCCGTGATCTGCTGTCCAATGCAAATGCAGAAGGATTTTATGTTCCACTGGTCATGGATGATCTTTCAAGCAAAAGAGTTTTAACCACAGAACTTGTTTCTGGTACTGTGCAATATGCTTCATTATGTCACCATTTTGTTTCTGTTAGGAGCTTCATGTAAGCCCATTCTGTGAACAGTTTCAATGTTTCTTGGCAATTTATCCAGTGCAAGTCATAGTTTCTGAAATAGCCCAAGTTTCTCTCTCTAAGTTAAATAGATGTCTCATTTGTTGTCTTTATAGTAAGAATCTGCAATTTTCATCAGTAGCAGTGGAAACTTTATCCTTATTTGTTGTTCTACCTTAAGATATTATTTCTTGCTGCAGGAATTCCAGTTGATAGGGTTGCATTACTAAACCAGGACACTCGTAATTATGTTGGGGGGAAGTTGCTGGAACTCACTTTATTGGAACTTTTTGTGTTCCGCTTTATGCAGGCATTTCTCTTTATATTTCTTTTTGTCTCATTTTAAAAAAGTTTACTATGTAAGGTTGTTTCTTGTTCAGGACAGGACTTCCCAAAGTATTTCTCAAGTTCCAGTCTGAGGGGTGGCTGGTCTTTAGTTAGAGAACCCTTTTTGCTAGATCTAATAGCATGTCTTTGTTCACACTGAGTTTGTTCTTGTGCAGACCGATCCTAATTGGAGTAATTTCTTATATGATGAGTCTACAAAAACAATGAATCTCATTGACTTTGGAGCAGCTCGGGAGTACCCCAAACAATTTGTTGATGACTATTTAAGAATGGTGAGTTTGCTTCCTCTACAAGTCCATCCCTTGGTTGCATGACTTAAATTGCATTGACAGGAGAAAAATTGATTTTTCTGATTCAAACTGATCGTCATGATGGGTTATTCTTTCCAAAGGGCTCCTCTCCTCCAATTGATCTTTGCTGAAATGAGTTATTGTTATATAGCGTGTTAAAAGGCTGAGAAGTGTCATGTTTTTCTTATGTAACTATTAAGAAGCCTAGCCTATCAAATAAAAAAAAAAAAAAAAAAAAAAACATAAAATCTAAAGCACACTCATGAAGCGCCTAGTCAGATTTGGTCTGCCACTGCCGACTGCCAGCCATCTGGCGGATATTCTGAGAATCCCACCGGAGAAAACGAGGAGCAAATCCTGACCGCACGTTAACCCATTTAACCACATCATCGGACGCCCATCCCCAAACCTTTCTTTTCTCTTTTTATCCTTCACTCACTTGTCTGAGCGCATTTCGCTCATCACAGAGCTCAAAACTCCACTCCAATGGCGTCCGTCTTCTCCACGCCAATGCTTCATTGCCCTCGCCTCAGTTTCCGGGTTCGTCCTCCAAACTCTGAACTCACCACTCTTTTTTTTTTTTTTTTTTTCGATTGGTGTAGTGTTCATTCATAAGTTCATTTTCATGGATTGTGGTGTTTGTTCTTCCTTTATATACAAGCTGATTAATTTTCGCATACCCATTTGCTTATAATATTAGGATTTAATGTTAACACTAACAAGTTGAAAGCTTTATGGGATTCGGGTTTTGAAAATTTGATATCTTAGCATTATTACCCAAGCAGCTGTAGTTTTTTTTCTAATTAATGATGGTTATGGCCTGCACAGAATGTTGGCTAACAGAGAGGGTGTAATTATTGATTGCATTGTTATAGCTACCCCTCTATTTCTTTTCTTTTTCATGAGCATCTGGACTTTTTGCCCGAATAGAGGTGAAATTGAAATTTCAATTACCTGGTTTTTTGGTAAGCATCCATGTGGTATTAGAGTTTATGCCAAAAACATAATTACTAATTTTATAATTGCTGCAGCTGCTTGTTAGTAATTTTCTAAGTTAATTTTTTTTTATAGACTTGTCATTTATGGAAATTTTGAATTGCGATATCATCCTGTTTTATGTTTGTTGCAATGTTCTTCTACAGGGCAATTATTTGGAAGATGTTTCAAATGTGCATAGGACACACATGATAAATTCAGGGTCAAGTTACTCCCATTCCAGGCCTTTGGGCTGCCTTGGAAAGGCATTGTCATCACGGTCACAGCGTGCACTGAGTATTCCTGTCATACGGCTTCCTAGATCTCCTATTAAAAATCGGAGAATGGTTTGCGTCAACTCAATGGCAAAAGTAAGTAAATAATTTTATTTTTGCGATGTCTTTTTCAAGCAAGAGGAGAAAGCATTAAGCTAGATACCATTAGACATTAAATTGCAGGCTAGGTTGCTATATATGGTCTTTAAAAGGTTTCACTGACTGGTTGCTAGGTAATATATCTCAGTTTAAAGATGCTATTCTCCTTTCAGATGCATTATCACTAGAACAGGCCCTCAGGAAATATTGTTTTCATTTTTTTTTTTCATTTTTTTACTTCAGGAGGGGCAGAAGTTCAAAATTATCAAATAAACATTTTAAGTTGTACCTAGGAATGTGTCTAATACAATCCCTAGAAACGTTGTTTGTTGTAACCACAACACATAATCTTTCTAAAGAATTAAATAAACTATTTCCTGTGCAATCCAATGAGCTAAAGTTTCTTTGATTTTTGAAATACCTTGTGAGGCCTGCAAAATTTTCTTTTTCTGTTCTTAGAATTCTTTTAATAGTTATTGGTATTATTGAAGTGATTCCCGTCATGCCTGTTTTAATTCTTCTTAAGTTCTTACATTTTTTAATTTTAGGATCTAGAGCTGCAAGCAGAAGTCACAACAAAGTGCTTCTTTGATGTAGAAATTGGAGGTGAACCTGTGGGTAGAATTGTAATGGGCCTTTTTGGAGATGTTGTTCCAAGAACTGTTGAGAACTTCCGTGCCTTGTGCACAGGTAAGTTATGCTTAGAGTGTCTGTTCAGCCTTTGGTGTTTAAAAGCATTGCTATGTTTATTTCTTTTGCAGTGCAGTTAAATTAATGCAGAATTTTTTTCTTGCAGGAGAAAAAGGATATGGTTACAAAGGATGCTCATTCCATCGTATCATTAAAGATTTCATGATCCAGGGAGGTGATTTCACTAGAGGAGATGTAAGTTCTCTTTCACTGTTGTAATATTAATGAATCATACTATTGTAAAATAGAAGTTTAACTTATTAAGCAAAAAACTACTGCACTGCATTTGCTGGTTACAGGGAACTGGCGGAGTCAGTATTTACGGTCCCAGGTTTGAAGATGAGAGCTTTGCCTGTAAGTATGCTTTATAATGAAGATCATCAAAAAGATAACTGAATTGTTATCGTTCCATCATTCCCTTCAAAATATTAGAAATTATGCAGGGGGAGTTTGAATTGAATCTGAACTCAGCTAATACCACTACTAATATTTTGTGGCAATCACTTCCAGTGAAGCATGTCGGACCTGGAGTGTTGAGCATGGCCAACGCTGGTCCCAATACTAACGGGAGTCAATTCTTCATTTGCACAGTGAAGGTGAGTCATCTGCCGAGCTTCTTTTCATTGATTACATATGTAATTGCATTTTCCCACTTTCTGTTGAAAAGCTGGATGGAGTCAATTTTCTTCTCTATATTTTGTCAATAGCAAAACAGCTTAATCAAAAGAAAGTCAGAATAAGTGCATGTTAAAGAGTGAAAATGGAGACTCTTTTCTTTTTTGCTTTCTTTTTTGCCTTCTGTGATCGGAATAGGTGTGAATGGCATTTCTTTTCTCCTTTGATTGTAAGTCACAAAATTTTAATTGGATTCCCATGGCTCACATGTGTCTGCTGGTGACTGCTGTCTGCTGACTATTGAGATGTGTTTTCTTATGGCCAATCATAAAAATGAAAATGGAAGAAATGTATTGCTTTATGTAATCACATTAATTTCTTTAGTGCTTAAACCGCTGCAATTTTTATCTGTGTTATACAGACTCCTTGGCTGGACAACCGTCATGTTGTTTTTGGAAATGTTGTGGATGGACTGGATGTTGTGCGACAACTTGAATCTCAAGAGACAAGCAGGTCAGACAGCCCCCGAGTGCAATGCAGAATTGTTAATTGTGGGGAGTTACCCTTAGATGGCTGATATCCTGCTCATGCCATCACACAAATGATGACAAACATGGAAATACATGGTTTATTCATCCCTTTTCTTTTGGCTGTGAAATGGTATTTTACCGAACATAGTTTGATCCCTTTCAATGTGAATCGAGAATTGTTATGCATTGTCACCAAGGGATTTTTGGATGATTACTCTGTAAGCTCTTGGCAAAGGCTACTGTAGGATGAATGCATGAGTTTATGAATAGAGCATCATAAAGTTTATTTTAAATACCTTTCCCCATAATTGGCTTTTTGACGCTTTAATCCTGGGGATAAGTACATAAATCATAGACTAGTGGACAATCCTGTATCATGTGTCAGTATATCGTGCAGATTAGAGAGCTTCTGCTATCTTTACATAAGCTTAACAGGAAGTGGAATCTATGCAAGGACTACTGTCTCAACGGAGGTCGACTGGATAACTTGCTCTGGCTGCTCTCCTTCCCAAATCTCAGGTATTGCTTCTTTAATATTGTGAATGCTACTCAGGGCATAATCTGCACCAGGAACAAGTGCCGAACTCCCAACCTGTCGTCAGTATTCTCTCAGGTTAGAGGATTCCGAATGCTAAATTAGATTACTTTAGAGTAGCAAAGAGAAGCATTCTCTTTTCTCTTCTCTTCTTCTCCATTTTTTTTTCATACAGAAGAAAACTAGAACTTACAATAACAGTATGAAGCCCTGCTGCCTTTCCGCTTGCTATGTTTCGAGCACTGTCATCAAAGAAAAGCTGAAAAAACACAAACACAGAAGAAGAGAATCCATTAATCATTGAAGTCTAAGACATCAAAAATAATACAAGGAAGCTTCAGTCTTTACTGTTTTCTTTGGATCAACATTGGCAATGCGAATTGCAGCTTCAATGGCTTCCACTGCAGGTTTGCAAAGAATTCGGGACCTGGAACTGACACTGTTGGCATCAGTACTGTCAGTCATATCGAGCTCTCCTTCAGCCCCTGCAAGAACTGCGTTATCATCTATTGCATCCACTGCAGGTTTGCAAAGAATTCGGGACCTGGAACTGACGCTGTTGGCATCAGTACTGCCAGTCATATCGAGCTCTCCCTCAGCCCCTGCAAGATTTGCATTCTCATCTATTGCATCCATGTAATCAGCCTGTTCAAGAGCAGGGTTAAGAGTTTCAAAGCAAATTATGCCCTCGAAACAATCCTCCAACCCCAACCTGCTGAGAACCGCAAGCGCATGTGCCTTGTCAGCATTGGTGAAGATCTGAAACACATCAAGATTAATCTTAGAAACTTCCCAGATGGAGTACTAATGTCTTCCAGGGAAAAAATTTTCTATAAACTTACTATTTTCCGCTGTGGCATGGAAAGCAGAAGGTTTCTCAATACAGGATCAGGCTTCAAGGTGTCATAAGGCAATCTTCCATGAACATAAGCATGGAACTCATCATTGTCAAATTCATAGCCAAGTGCCTGCAATTTGATAGGGAAATTCATGATTCCAAGATAGATAAAGAGTAAGTTTCGACAAGATAACTTAGTAGAAATTCAACTCTTTTCACCTTTAAGCCGGCCATTGTTGTCCCATATTCCCGGTATAAATCCAAGCACATCCTCGGCACCTCACTTTCTTCAATGTTCAACTGTTGCAACATGAACTCTGCAAACTCAGAACAAACTCTGTCAGAGCAAATTCATGTGACTGCTGTTTTCCTGTTTAGACTCATATATATACCTTGAATGTTCCTCCGGCAAGCCAGGTTCAGACCTGAGCTCAAAGGGTACAAGGTATCATCCATGTCTGAAAAACAAACCCCAGACCCAGAAATCAGCAACAGAAGAAATCCTTCCCAACCCCCACCCCCCCAAAAAAGGAAAAAAAAAATAGCAGCATAACATACCAAAGAGCAAGCATTCATATCTTGCTCCAGAGACCCTCCCATCAGCATCCATCTTGAAAAATCTGCCTGCAAAAATCCTCCATAGATTTAGGTACTTCAATCATTTATGAACCAAAAAACAACAATTATTAACGAGAAAACACACTGATTTACCTAGAGAACCCATAAGAATAATTAGAATTGCTATGGAAGAGCAAAGGCAGAGTGCTTAAATCTTTGAATATATAGACATAATTAATACCCTTATGTTGTGCCTCCATTTTCAAAAGAAGAGCATATTCAGAAAAATTCCATTTTTAAATCATGATGAGAGCAAGAAAAAATCCATCAATATCAACCACATAAACCATGCAATACTACAAATAGTCAACGAAAACATTTTAATGCAAAGAGATATATGAGCCAAAAAAACAATAGAAAATTAATGCAATAATAATGCAGCATGAGAGCAATACCTAAATAATGTAGAACAAATAGAACAGTTCGAATGGATGCAAAAGCTGTTCATGGGGTCTGTATTTATACATGGACGATCCACACCCATTTGCATAGCGTGCGAGGTGACATAAGAAATGGCATCTGTGGCGAGCATATTTCCTTGCGCTGTCATTTTCTTTGATTCGAGTGGCTTTAATTAGAGTTTTTAATTTTCCAATCAAGTGCCCTTTGAAGAATTATATTCTAGCAGCCAAAGATGCATTCAAATAAACTATTCAAGTTTAGTTGATATTTAATAATTAATAATTGATATGTAATTAATAATTATTATTATTTATAATTTAAAATTTTATAAAAATATAAAAATAAAACTTATATATAAATAAATGTATACACATTTAACAATATCCATAAAACTTGGTTACAAAAGTCACAAACTTAACTATTCTATACAGTACTTTCATTACAAAACCAAAGAAGCCCAAAGCAGTTCAAATCACCACAGATTGCGGAAACCAACAGTATTGGACTTCGTGAGATAACTTTTGCAAAAAGGTTTAGCCCCACGCTAGACTAAAGTCTGCACTTTTTCTTGCTTGTTCCCTGGAATATGATCTCCCTCGCTACAAAGGGACTAAAGATAATCAATCATTGAAAAGGAAACGTAGATAACACCATAATTTTGACAGTGTGCTTCACACAGACTCTATTTTCATTTTTCATCTCAAAGAAAAAGTATAATCATGTAAGGGTTCATTACAAACATCAGAGGTGAGAAGAATGGAGGCAAATCATATTACTCTTCCACTGTGCAATTTAGTCATTGATGATTACATTATGCTAGAGGGAGCAAGCATGCATGCATATGGATATTGCAATATTATCTTATCAAGGCAAAGTATGACAATTAAAGAGCACGCAGAGTACTGATTACTCGCTTTGCTTCTTCACGGATGCAAGAGAGGTTCATCTTTATCTCCCTGCAAATTCTGCCTTCAATTAGGTGAACAGGCAACCACACCTTTGGCTTTACATCAACAGAATAGGAAAGACTTGTCTGAAATTTTTGACCAAGTGAGCCTTCGCCGTCTTCACATTGTCCTCCATTAAACTGCAACAACAAAACCATGAATTTTTTTTTTTCTTTCAAAATCTATGGTGCATAAATAAACATTTAGATATTAATGTGTTAAATATTTACTCATCAAAGATGCAACATTCATAAGGCCAGTAAAGTCATTAGAGGATGATGACAAACGACAATGTAGTCATCCAGCTTGACCATGAACTAGAAAATGGAGGTCATAAATTAAGTTAGAATACAAGCAAAATCTAATAATAAACCAAAAAATTAAAAGGAGAAGGTAAAACATTGGTGATATGATGGAGATGCAAATGTGAATTTGTTTCTATAGTTCAGTCCCAAGTCACGCTCAGCACCAACAATAAACAAATATACCACTATGGAGAGCCAAAGGCATACAAAGACATGAAGCAACACAGAATGATCAGCCACCAGCAAAGGCCAAGTCCAGAAAATGGAATCAAATCATCTCCTAATTAAGCAAGGAGTAATCTCTTACAATACATGAGGAAAAGATTATTTGCTCGGTTTTACCCCAAAAACACTTGATAAAATATTTTGGAAGATATCATATCCTTCTAAGTAAAAAGTGACTAATTAAGCCAACATTATCATGTCAAAATTTGAACCAACTTGAATTCTACAAAAAAAATTTTAAGTTCCAACAACTCTAGTTTCTAAATGTTTAAATTTATGCCTTCAGTCAATGTTACACCCAATTTATACTTAAGTAGCAAGCATTAGTCCTCAACTACCTACCAATGAGATAATTTCAACTGGTAGCCTGCATAGTCTAAATAAATCAAAAGGTGCTCACCAACCTCGGAAAATTTATAAATTTTACCTGTTTAATGGACCATTTTCCTTCAAAACATTGGAAGTCACCTTCAACCATCTTAAATTCAATTTCACGCTTCTGCCCGAAAGGTGAAATCTCAAGATCTTTCTCGTAACAATCTAAAACAGCTTTAGCATTGAATTTCAGCCCCAATGGCAGGTTTTGCTGTGCAACCTACATGACATTAAACATCATCTATCCTAGTATATGTAAAACAGATAGCAACCATGTTGCATGCATACAAGTGCCGACACCAAGTGTGTGCACAAACTCAAGAAAGAGCAAGAACAAATACAGATACATGCGAAGAAATTTTTCTATAAAGTGGGGATTTTTACCTGATAGAGCCGAGCGAAGTTGTCTTTTTTCTCGACCAATTGACTGACGACCAGGCCCGGAATGATATCAGCCAACCTCTCGTAATCCGTCAAAATGTTCCAGACTGTGTCGAGGGTGGCGTCAATCGCGATTTTGGACCGAATTTTGCGAGAATTTTCCCCTATCTTCTTAATCTCGATGCGAACTCCATCCCCACTAAACGACTCTGTCGATTCTGTTTCCTCATCTGAAACGTAGAAACCATCCTCATCATCAGAATAACCTTCATTTTTGGTATCTACAGGGGTGGAATCGGAGTTTGAACAGAAGGGAGGGGGTCGGAAACCGGAGACGAGGAACTTTGGAGGGGAAGGGAAGAAAGAAGGGGAGATTTTGTTAGAAAATGGGCTGAGAAATCTGGTGGGAAGAGGAGCGATTGCGACGGAAGGAGCGATTGCGACGGAAGGAGCGATTGCGACGGAAGGAGCGGCGGAAGGGAGCGGAAGTGGGAAGGCGCGCATGTTTTGGTCCCCTCATCTGACGGGCCGCAGCCACAGCCACCCATTTCGACTCTCCCCGATTTTGGATAGCCGAGGAAGATGACGGCGTGACCGTTTAACAGCAAGACGGTGACAGCTTTGGGCCCATTGGGCTTTCTCTTTTCAGCCACTAAATGTAAAAGTCGACCATTGGGCTTTATCAAACCCCAAATTCTTTAAAACAAACACTTTCTTTGTTCTTTTTTACTATAATTTATTATTTTGTACTAGTTTTTTAGTTTAAAAAAAAAGGTAAAATAAAAATGTAATTAATTCTGTATGGATTGATTTATAAGGGGGAAAAAAAAAACAACATTCTAATATTAACAATCTCATTATTCATTTATTCACTCAAAGTTTTTGTGTTGAACGAAACAAATATTTAGTACGAAAAATTTTATATTTCACTCTTATGGGTTGCTTTTTAATTCTGTTATAAGTTCGACTCTCACAATATATATGTTATAAACTAATGTACTAATTTT